GAAACCCTTGTGCCCCTTTGGTAGCAATGTAAATTGGTGCAGCCACTGTGGAGAACAGGATGGAGGTTCCTCAAAAAATTAAAAATAGAACTATGATATGGTCTAGTAATTCCTGTAACACTTTTGGGTATTTTTCTGAAGAAAACAAAAACACTAATTCAAAAAGATATATGCACCCCTACATTCATTACAGCACTGTTTACAATAACCAAGACATGGAAGCAACCCAGGTGTGCACTGATGGGTGAACAGATAAAGATGATGTCACACCCCCCCCCACACACAATGGAATACTACTCAGCCATGAAAAAGAATGAAGTAATGTCATTTGTGGCAACATGCATGGACTTACAGGGTATTAATGATAAATGAAATCAAGCAGAAAAAGAGAAACCCATACGATTTCATTTATATGTGGAACCTAAAAAGTAAAAGAACAAACATACCAAATAGAAACAAACTCATAGATGCAGAGACCTGGTGGTTGCCGGAAGGGAGGGAAGTGGGGGGAAATGAGTGGAACAGTTGAGGGAGATTAAGAAGTACAAATTTCTAGCTACAAAATAAATGAGTCATGGGGAAGAAATGTTCAGTGTGGGGAACATAGTCAGTAATATTGTGATGACTTTGTATGGTGACAGGCGGTAACCAGACTTATCATGGTGATCACTTTGAAATGTACAGAAATATCAAATCACTATGTTGTGTACCAGAAACTAACATAGTGTTGCAGGGGAGTTATACTTCAACTCTAAAAAAAAAGGTAACTATGTGAGGTGATGGAAATGCTAATTCTCTTGATTGTGGTAATCATTTCCCAATGTATGCATACACAAAATCATGAGGTTGCATGCCTTAAATATATTTAATTTTGTCAGTTACACCTCAGTCAAGGTGGAGAAATACCGGCACGTGCTACAACATGGATGAACCTTAAAAACATTAAGCTAAGTTAAAGCAGTCCACGACAAAGAGAACACATATTGTACAACTGAATGTATATGAAGTGTACAGAACAGGCAAACCCACAGAGATGGAAAACAGGCCAGTGGTCGCCAAGGCTGGGGTTGTTGTGGATAAATGGAGAGTGACAGTAATGGGCCCAGGGTTTCTTTCGGGGGTGATTAAAAGTGTCTAAAATTGGGGTGATGGTTGTGCATAGTTGTACTCTTTTAATTCACTAAAAGTTACCATTATTGAAGTGTACACATTAAGGGCATAAACTGTATGATATGTGAATTATATCTCAATAAACCCATTATAAAATTTTGTATTCAAAAACAACCATCAGCAACATTAATTCTCATACATCAGCAGGTAGGTCGAGGGTCAGCTGATCTAGGTGAGGCTCAAGGGCAGCTCTGAACTCGCACATCTTGGGGTCTGCTGGAGGTTGACTGACCCAGGCTGGGCTCAGCTAGGCTGGCCCTGCGCCACCTGTCCCTCATTCTCCTCTCAGGACTGGCGGGCCAGTCTTCTGGTGGCATGCTTCTCTCAGGGCGACAGCAGAGGTGCAGGAGAGCAAGCCTCACCACCAGCCTTCGGTCAGACCCTGAGCACTTTCTTTCCCCACCTCCTTTGCAGCATGGACAATCATTGGTCCATGTTGGAAAATGAGATTTAAGCAGAAATCTAGGGTTTCTCAGAAAGTGCTTTCCCACATATAAGGAGCATCTGCTGATTTCTTCCCTTCCTCTCTTTTTCCTGTATTTAGTGCGGGATGTGATGCCTGGAGCGGTGGCAGCCATATGGATACCACTAGAGAAAGCTGATGAGAATCACAGATGCCATCCCTGACATCACTCAGCATCGTTGCTGGAGCGGCACTGGCAACTACCCATCTCTGGATTTCTCGTCATGTGAGGAAAACAAAGCCTGTAAGTTCACTACACTGTTCACTGCACCCCAAGGTCCTTCTCACTAAGACCCAGCGGCAACTGGACAGGACAGTCTAGCATTCATGCTAAGTGGGCCACTGGCTCAATGACAAAGTTATTCTTGGCATTTCAATCCAAGGTTCAGCAATCATTCAGTCACTAAACATATTGATTACCTTACGTGTACTGGTCACTGTGACTAAGCAAAGCTACCCTCGGGAGCTGCCAGTTAGCAGGTTACACAGATAAAGTCACATCTAATGTCAGAAGCACAGACAGATAGTGAATAGGATGTGTTATGCAAACTGATATCACACAGGTACTACAGAAAAACTTGGTCAAACATGTAGTTACTCAAAAATCTGAAGATGTTATGAATCACATCAATTCTCTTCAGTCCCAGCGATCACTCCCCAGCGCAGGCGAGGAGTGGGTTGGCTGGGTGATCCCTGCTAGTCCTTTACCTCATCTCTTCATCTGCTGGCTAGGAAGCAAACCTGACTGACTACTGAACAGGTGTCAGCTCGTTGACCCAGGGTCACCTGAGCCACAGTGACCCTTGTCACCCACGGAGCCATCCTCCTGACCCAGCCATCTGGAGGGCATAGGGCAGCAGGGTCTGGGGTCAGGAAGCCTCTGCTCTGGGGTGAGCTCTGCCAGCACCTGCTCCCCACCCCCAGGCATGATGGCCTCCTTCGCCAGGTGAGGATAATGATCTATTGATTCAGAGCCTGTCACATGGTTAAATGAGGCATGAACGTGCTTCATCCCTGGCATGTCTGCTCTTCCTGCTCTCAGTGCCAAAATGCTCAACTCGGCCAGGCTTGGCAGGAGGCACAGTGAGCTGCGGGCCTCCAGGCCCAGCCCAGTCACTTTCTGTCTGTCCTCTAGCAGGTGACTCCCCGTGCTGTGCCCGAGCACGGAACCCACTCCCTCAGGGCCCTACTGTTCTCTGATGTGGGAATGGCTTGAGCCAAACTCTGGGAGCGCGTCTGTGACATAAACACACAGTCCAGGTGAGAGGGGACAGTCCCCGCCCTGGCCTGGACTGTTCACCTGGGTTTCCGGTGCTGAGGCTTCTGTGGCGCCCCATGTACCCAGAACTCGGGGACGCAGACTCTCCTGAAAATGACGCTATTTCTCGAGCCTCCAGTAAGCTCCTGCCTCACCTCATCTAACTGTCCAGCTATCTCTCGAAGTCCATATCCTTATCTCCATCTTGGGTGGAAGGTTGGGGAGGGCACTGGGAGGAAGGGGCGAAGTGCAAGCTGGGAAGTAAGGAGCCGGGTATGGAATTTGCTCTGACTCTTAGAATCACTGTGACTTCTGGAGCTCCCAGCCTTGCCGCTCTGGTCTACCAGAGGGAAGGCGGTTCGGGAAGGCGTCTGTGGGTGGACCCCGTGTTGGCCAGGAAGGCCTTCCGCAGCAGGCAGCAGAAAGCCCAAGGGTCCTGAATAAATGCGGCTTTATTTTTCCCAGGGGAGAAGCTGAGTTGAGTGGCAGGGCGATGCCGGTTCAGGGTAACAGGATGGCAGCGTGGCCCCCCAGCCCCATGACCGTGCTGTGCTCAAGGAAGCCACGATGGGGAGGATAAAAAGGTGTGCCTAACACAGCTCTCCTCCCAGGAGAGGAGCAGAAGCATTCCAGAAACTCCTCAGCAACTTACTTGGGTCTTACCGGCCCGAACGGGATCACAGGGTGACTCCCAGATACAATGGAAGTTGGGCACGGAAAAATTTGTTTTCCCGCCTCTGTAGTCTGAGACAGCGAAAGAGAACAGGTAGGAACAGATTTCAGGCAGCTCACAGCAGTTCTGCACATTCACTGCGCGGCCGGCCCCACCCTTGCCTTGCAGACTGGATGGGTGTCCTGGGGCAGCCAGAACAAAGGACCACAAACCGGGGGGCTTAAAACCACAGAAAAGGATGCTCTCACAGTTTGGAGACCTGAAGTCTGAAGTCCAGGTGTGGGCATGGCCGTGCTCCCTCTGGGGGCTCTGAGGAGCGTCTCTTCCGATTTCTGGGGGCTCCAGGCATCCCTGGACTTGTGGCCATGTCACCCCAATCTCTGTCTCCATGGCCTCTCCCATGTGTGTTTCCTCTTTGTATAAAGACACCAGTCCTACTGGATTAGGCTCCACCCTAATGACCTCATCTTAACCTGATTATATCTGCCAAGACCCTATGTGTAAGTAAGGTCACATTCCCAGGTGACAGGGGTTGGGACTCCAACACATCTTTTGGGGAGCATAATTCAACCCACAATAGAGACCACGTTGGCCTTCTATCATCTTCAAAAGGGGAGGTTAGGGCCACCTCTATGCCATTTTCCTCCAAGATCAGACCCCCTACCCCTGCTCTCAAGGCCTTGGGTCATTCTTGCCTGAGCAGGGCCTTCCCCAGGCCCCCCTTCTTCTCCTGCTTCACACCCCCCCCCACCAGGAAGCCCTTGAGTATCCTCTGATTGCTCCTCTTCTCGTGTGAGGGGTTTCTTGGACATGTGAGTCCCGAAGCCTGCCACAGACAATGGCTTTCAAAGCCCTGACTGCCCTGCTCAGCACTGCTCCCTCCTCCCACCCACACCTGGCACTGCCATCAAGGTGCCCCCTCCCCTCCCCCCAGTGATGCTCAGGGCTCTGGGTCATCTTTCCAGGCTGAGGCTCAGCTCCTCCTTGGCCTAGGTGCTGCACCTGTGCACTCAGAGCTGCAAGTCCCTCCTCTGGTCTCACCTTTGTGATGGGGTGGGGAGACCTGCCCTGGGTCAGGGAGACCTGCCCTGGGTCAGGCAGCTTAACAACGATGATACTGGGAGGAGGCAGTGCAAGCTGCATCCCACCTGAGAAACATGGGCCCAACTGCTAGCATCCACTGCGCACCTGCTGTAAGCTGTGCCCCACGCCTGCTGCCTCAACCCCTCAGCCCCTGCCCGAGGCTCGGCGCACCCAGCTGGGACGTGCAAAACACTTTGCTGCTTATTCTTTCTTATTTTTATTTTTTTGGTGGGGGGAATATAATTTTCTGGGACGTTATCCCAAAGGGGGAATTGACTGTGTTAAGGGACTTTATCAAGACTCCTTAGTCCTAGGAACCCATGAAACACCTGGATAGATGTGGTTAGACTTACCTGGTTCCCGGGTCTTCAGCAGTTGTTTGACCATGAGAAGGGCACGTGTCTGATTTCCATCAACTTCCGGAGCAGAGGACACCCACAGCCAGTTCATTCTGGGGTCTTCACATCTGGTGCAGGGACCAGGAGCTCTCTAGACCTCGTGGGCAGACACAGGAATGGAGGTGCGATGGGCAGAAAAAATGGACTTGCCTCATCCTGTCTCCACGTCTCCCCCAGACCTTCATCAAGAGCAGAGGCGCATTTGTTTCTCTTGCTGCAGCACAAGTTACCACAAACTTAGTGGATGGAAATAACACCCATTTGTCATCTGACGGTTCCGCAGCTCAGAAACCTGAGCAGGCTCCCCTGGGCTCTCTGTTTGGGTCTCCCAGGTGAGAACCCAGGTGTCCCCCGGCTGCGCACTCTTCTGCAGGAATGTCTGCTTCCAACTGCATTCGGTTGAGGCAGAGTCCGCTTCCGTGAAGCTGCAGGTCTGGGGTCCCGTGTCCTTGCCAGCTGGAGGCTGGGGCCACACTCTGCCCTGGAAGCCACTCACATTCCTTCCCACATAGCTCCATCTGTCTTCAAGGCAAAAAAGAGGTGTTACCTCCTTCTGACCCTTCTAACATCTCTGACACCTCCTTTTGCTTCCGATCAGAGAAAACGCTCTGTTTTCACAAGATTCACCTGATTGGGTCAGGTCCACCCAGACAATCTCCGTCTCTTAAGGTCATCTGACCCGGGACTTTGCATCTGCAAAAATCTCTTCACAACAGCACCTGCATTTGTGTTTGGATAACCAGGGACATGGGATCCTGGCATGGGAGTGGTGGTGGGGGCATCCTTAAAGTTCTACCTACCCTAGGAGGTCTTCAGGGGAGAGAGCTACAAAGAGAGCTCTGCTCTAGATCTCGGGCAGGGAAGACACCACCCTTCTCCTGCTCTGGCATGAAATGGGCCCACTTTTGGCACAGATTTTGTATGAATTCACCCCTTACACTGAAGGAAAAAGCACAACAGAGGCCTGGCCTGCAGGGGGAAACCCAAATATTTACACTGAACAAGCCCGTCTTCTATAAGCTGTTGGACAGGCTGGCTATTCGTTCAGACTTAGGAGAGATGGCCACTGGTTCCTTTTTTCAGAACATTTTAAAGTGACAAGCTGGCAATGCTTTTCAAAACCAATTCTCAGAGCGAAGTCTGATGAACTTCCGAATACGGCAGACCCTTCGTCACTAGGCACGGACGATCCCACAGCAGCACAAGCTGTCTGGCGGCAGGGGGAGGGCAGGCCCCCGGGATCTTAGCGTGCAGCTCTGCGCAGCTCCATGCGCTCCAGGTGGTTCTGCTCTGCCCTCCTGTGACCCCAAGTTCACACCTACCTGGAGCTTATCAGCGTGACTTTGTCTGGAAACAGGGTCCATGCAGATGTAGTCAAGTTAAATGAAGTCCCACTGGATTAGGGTGGGCCCTAAATCCAAGGATTGGTGTCCTCACAGGAAGAAGGCAGTAGGGACACAGACACACAGGGAAGAAGGCCACGGGAAGACAGAGCCAGAGATTGGAGTGATGTGGCCAGGGGCCAAGGGACACCAGGGATGGCTGTCCATCACCAGAAGCTGGGACAGAGGCCTAAACAGACTCTCCATCAGAGCCCTCAGAAGCAACCAGCCCTGCCGACACCCTGACTTCAAACTTCTGGCCACTGGAACTGGGAGAGAATACACTTCTGTTGTTTTAAGCCACCAGGTTTGTGGCCGTTTGTTTCTGACGGCCCCGGGAAAGTCACAGGGCCATCGTGTGGGTGTGTTTTTAGGTGTAATCTCTACCTAGCCAGAGACCTCACCACTCCCTATTTTATTACACCATTTTGCTTTGCTCATTAACTTTCTGCCTGGCTCTTTAAAGCATTTTAATTTGCAACCTCTGGTTTAATAAACACATTTCATAAAACCAGGTTTAAAAAGCAAACAACTCACCCTATACATAAGAGCAAACACCAAATGGGTCAGGGATCTAAATGCAAAAAAACTGAAACCATATACACAACATAAAACATGGGTAGATTTTTCTATAACCTGGGTGTAAGAAAAGGTTTTTCTAACCACAATTCCAAGTCCAGATGCAGTAAAAGAGGTGAATAAATTTAACGACATAAAGAAAAAAGTAACCTTTTCAAGGTAAAAATACCATAAACAAAGTCAAAGGCAATTGACAAACTGGGAGAGTATTTTCAACATCAATCACAGTTAAAGTGTTAATATCCCTAACATACAAAAAAAAAAACCCTCTTAAAAATGGACAGAAACAAAGCCCCAAAACCTGATAGAAAAATAGGCAAAAAACATGAACAGGCGATTCATTTATAAAAAGACACAAAAGTGGTGTTCACACCTGGTTCTCCAACCCTGTCAGACTCTGACTTCTCTGTTATTATTTAATAAATCTGTTTCTGCTCAAACTAGACAGAGCAGATTCTATGTTTGCAGTTTATTTGGTGAGCACAGGCTGTTTCCAGATCTCAATGCACCCTGAAGCATGAAGGCTTTCCAGCCTACAGTACATTCAAATATCATTTACACCAGACTCTGAGGACAGTTTTAAAAGATCATGTATTTTCAAGCAATCACAGTTTTATTGCAATAGGAGGACTGCTTTCCGGGGTGACTAACTTTGAAGGAGGAGGAGCTACTGGGTTTGGTGAGCTCTGGTATGTTTGTTTAAAAAGAAACCTTCCATATTTTAGAGCTACCCCTTGTCACCCAAACAATACGTTATCTGTCTTTGGAATGTGTTTTTCACCCACACTCGAGTCTGGGTGTGTCTTGTGTCTTGAAATGGCACACCAAGCAGCGAAGACTATACTGGGATGGCACTGGGAAGCAACCCAGTGTCTCCGTCTTTACCCCTGCCTGACACGTCTCAGAAACCCATGCGGAACCTAGAGGAGGTGGGTCAGGCTTCAGCTAAGTGCAAAGTCCAGGGCAAGCAGAACCGCCTTTTGAAACCCAGTCAGCAGAGCATGGAAGCAACCTGAATGCACAATGATAGGGGATTGGTTGAATAAATCATCGTACATCCAAACAACAGGCATCTGGGCTGCCCTGGAAAACCATGATTTAGAAAAGATTCCATGATATGGGTGGACATCTGGGATATGCTGTTCGCTGGAAAAACCAGATCGCAAAATGGGGAGCAGGATCCTACTTCTATGGGATACACTGTTTTTGTAAAAACAGGTGTATGCGGACACATATGAATACAAGTGTCTAAAAAGATATATTTTAAAACGTTAATGTTGGTTATGATTGAGGGGTGACCTTATTTGACTTTTATGTTGTTTTTCAGTAAGGCACAATCTCTTCACAAGAAGCAGGTATTAGCTCACAATCAAACAAAATAACAGTTATAAGCATATAATCCCTAATTTACTTGTTTTAAATACTCTAGAAAGAAAATATGTGTATTTCTCCCACTCTGGGGAGAAGCAGATGAAGTAAGAGTGGCGACATGTTATCCCTGTTGGAGCCGGGCCGTAGAGATGTGGAGAATTATACACTATTCTCTTGACTTTGGGGTATGTTTGAAAACTTCCCTAGTAAAAAGGCAAACAAAAAACCCTAAACACACAAAACTGAGAGCAGCCATGAATTGTTAGCTTTCAGAGGCTATCATTATTGTGCTGTAAGAAATGTTGAGACGTGAATAACAAGCAGATATACAGAGACATGAATAACAAGCAGATATACAACAGAAATAAGGTGACAGGGTTTAACGACGAGAATCCACAATTTATTGGCTATGGGACCTCTTGAAGCCTCAGTCTCTACACCTGTAAACTAGGGGATCCTCACAGAATGGTAGGCCTGTAACATAGACTTGACTCAGATCATCACTGTAGTTGTTGACCCAGAGAAGCACACAAGAAGCCTGAAAGCATGAAGTCCATACCCCACAGTAGCTGTCCAACTTCAGTGTGCGGCTGGGGGGAGGGCGGGGGGGCGGGGGGAGCAGCCACGTGCAGATCCCAGGGCCCCGCCCCTAGGGAGTCTGACCCAATGTCTGGGGTCAAGCTGAGGACTCTGCTTCTTAAGTAAGAGCCCAGGTGACTCCCCCTGGGGAAACTCCGCACACAGCCGAAGGCCAAAGACACCCTGGAAAGCAGGTCTGCCCTGGAGGAGCACGTGTGACCACGCAGAAGCAGAGCCCGCCGGGGCTGGGGACAGTTGCCATTTATGAGCCTAGGTGGACCTTGTCAGCCGTCACGGCTGGTTAGAACCAGCCTGCAACAGACACCTTTGGAATCTCCGGTTGGAAGACAGAGTGAATGCAGACCTGTCACCTTTGCACTTTCCTCCCTGAGGGAGAGTCTGGGCAATTGACTTAGGTCAGAATTTAGTTCCAACATGTATGAACAGCACGCCCCCAGGCCCACAACTTACCGTCAGCATCCGCAGGGCGGGGCAGTGACAGCACTGTCAGGACCAGTGTCGCTGGGTGGAGGCCGTCCCATGAGGCTATCGGGAGCGGAGGCACAAGCCAGGACCCTGCAGCAGGGATAGGGGCCCGCTTCTTAAGGCCCGCACGTTAGGGGTTCCTTTGCTTTCTCAGTCACAGGAAGGCAGGACCTAGGACAAATGAAAACATTGAAATGGAGACCACACACGCATGCCGGCGACATGCCCCAGGGGAAATAACTGGTGGGTCCAGGCACAGAGCAGGCATGCGCACCTCCAGCTCTGACTGTTTAAGTCACCCTTGTCTTAATCAGTCTCAATCTTAATTGTTTTCTTTTTCCTAACCACAGCCTGGCCTCCAGGCGCTTCCTCTCTGGCCAGATTCTAAACAAGAGAAAAGAAGCAGGGTTTGAGGTGCAGCGAGGGGCAAGGGGGACCGGTGCACTGGAGTCCAGGTGGCTGATCTCTTGTCTCAGCCTGGACCCTGTCTACTGCAGTGATTAGTCAGCATCACTAATTCAGACGCAAAAAATCATCCCAGGCACATCTTATCTTCATTGCAAAATCATTTGTTTGCCTATCAAATTACCCAGGACATTTTCCACAGAACTAGAACAAATAATCCTAAAATCATTTGGGGAATTTGGGGTGAACTCCAAATTTCCTTCTCAAAAATAATTTTAATTTATCTTTATTCCAGCTCCATAGAAAATGCAGACAGACATGTAGTCCTATCCTAGACCGTGAGCTCCCTGAGGGCAGGGCCCACTGCACTGTCACCTCCGACACTGAGTTAGGCATGTAGCAGGTATGGCCTGAACTTGCCCTCCTGCTCATCCCTATTTGGGGAATCACTCCTTGCTGAACACACGGCCCCGCCTCCCTGTTACCTGTAGCTCCCCGCTAATCCCCAACCATGGGCCCGTAGCCCCTCCACTTTGTAGGCGGTGGAGAAATGTGCAAGTCCCACTGAATGCCAGTGGTCACTTTTTGCAGAGAGGGGGAAAGTGAGAGGCTCAAAATTCCCCAGGGCTGGAGGCTGCTTTAGGGAAAGAGCCCTGGGTAGGAGAGAGAGTAGGAAGAGGGAGAAAACCACAGCCTCAGGGCCAGGCCCAGGAGTCACTGTCCCCCCTTCCCCCTCCCTGGGGGATCCCTGGCTGTTTCCCCGGGAAGTGAAAAGCCCTGGGGACCGGTGGCCCATCTGTCTCAGAGCAGTAGGTCCAGATGTCAGTTCCTTAAAGCCGGGGGGTGGGGGGGCTGTATCTCATTCTCTTTAGAAGCTCCAAACCCTTAGTGGGGTCTGGTCCTGCAGGGCAAGGATTTTAATACCTGATGAATTAAACTGAGCTAGACTCAAGTTGAGGGAGAAATGACACCGTATAAGTGTCCCAAGGTTGCCGTAACAAATAACCACAAACTTGGCTGCTTAACACAACAGAAATTCATTCTCTGACAGTTCTGGAGGCCAGAAGGCCAAAGTCAAGGTGTTGGCAGGGCTGAGCTCCCTCTGAAGGCTCCAGGGGAGGGTCTTTCCTGCCTCTTCCAGTTCCTGGTGGCTCCAGGCATCCCTTGGCTCCAAAGTTCTGCCTCCATCTTCACATCTGCCTCCCTGAGTCTCTGCTTTTCTTTTTCTTTTTTTCCTCTTATAAGGACACTCTCATTTAGGCCCCTCTGGTCCAGGATCTCTTGATTCTTCCCTGAATTATACCAGCAAAGACCCTATTTCCAAATGAACTCACATTCTGAGGTTCTGGGTGAATACAACCTTTTGGGGGGCACTCTTCACTCCACTACATACCTTACAGAGCAAACTGCATGGGTGGGTGTGGCCAGAAGGCAGCTGAGAGCTGGGAGACCTTGGCCCAGTTACTTGTGGCTTGAGGGTCCCAGCTGTCCAGGGCTCCCATTAGCTTCTCTGACCTCTGCTGCCAGCTGGGAGGTGGAGCTCCTGGCTCCCTTTAACAGATGAGGAAACTAAGGCTCCGAGGGGCTGAATGAACGGCCCAGGTCACACAACTGGCTAGAGCTTGGACTGGAATCCAGGCAGACTTGGCACCTGAGCTTAGGGGTTTCACAGCCAGGTTGTACTGGATTTGAGGAAACCCTCTGCATGGATAAGGTCCCTAGATCTTTCCGTTCCAAGGAAGTTAATTTATCAACAGAAAGCAAAGGTGAATTGTTTTGATTTTTATGTTTCTTCACTTCCTCATATGGTAGATGTTGGAATGTGGCTACTTCCCTGGAATCACTTGAGAAAGCGAGGTCAAACAGAATAAGGATTAACAGTTATTTGTAGAAATTAGTCTGTATTGGGGAAATAAGGTGGACAGACCCCGCTAACACATGGGTGAAGCTGCGCTGACCTTCACCTGAAGGCCTGCTCCTTCCCACACTGGCCAAAACACAGGGTGGATCAGGGGAATTCTGCCCCAGGAGTGGAGGGCAAAGAGACATATTTCTTTTCTTGTTCCCCCAACTAGGACTCTGCAGTGTCTGCTCAACTTTGAAGTCCCAAGGCTGGAAAATTTCTTGTTAGGAAGTTTCTAGTAACTTAACCATGTCCTGAAGAAATTCATTCATTTATTCAATCACTCTCTATTGTGTACTGCCCTGAGCCAGGTTGTCAGCTCCACAGGGCGGGCAGGCTTTGTTCGTGGGGGTCTCCCAGGACTCAGAACCTGGTGAACACCAGGCCCCCATATAGCTGCCAAAGCAATGCAGGTACAGATCCCGTCCTAGACCACAAGAAGGGGTCCAGGGGAAGGGCAGGGAAGAGATGAATGAATTTCTTGCTCCTGGACCTTGGTTTCCTTTTCTGGAGGTGGCGGACCCCTGCCTGCAGCTGCAGAGAGGTGGCTGGGCCACCAGCTTCTCCCCTGCTGGTCCCCAACCCGCAATCCGTACCAGTACAAACTCCAGGGCCGGGGCATTCCTCCTACTCCCTGACCCTGGCTGGTGTACTTGCATCCTCCCGGTTTTCAGAGCTGAGGAAATAACCCGCTGGAAGGTGGCGGCCGACTTAACGGCTCCACTTGGGCGAGGTTTTCACACAAAACTTGTTCCCGTCACATCCCCAAGGCAGGCCAGCCGCTTCAGAGATACCGGCGCCAGTCCTCTGTGAGCTCACGACCTTCTCACGGGCCACGGGGAGCGGTTGTCATGACCCTCACTTTTGGGAGAGGCGCCCAGGGCTCCGAGAGCCCACGCCATTCGCCCAAGGTCACACAGCTTCTGAGGCAGAGCCGGCATGAGGATGGCCCCGCTCCAGAAGCTTCTCGAAGACACCCGCTACCTCCCTATTGTGACGCTCTGGAATAAAACAGCAAGGCCAGACGCCCTGCTTTCACCTACGACAATGCTCCACGCAAATCTGAGGGAACAAAAGCAACCAGGAATCCGCCCCGGGTTTTCGGCCCGTCCGGCCCGCCGGCCAATCGACTCCGCCGGCCGCCGACGGGTGGGCCGGGGCGGTTCCAACGTGATCGACAGCCCTGGGGAGGCGTGGCCACGGCGGGGGCG